TAATATCACTCAGATACGTTTTGCACTTGGTTACGATTCTGAATTAGAACTTTATGGGGTCTTAATTGACGAGCTGAATTTAAAGGTCTTACTTATGCAACACAATCGTATCTTTTGTTAACAGCCTCCCAGCGATAACAAAAGCGGCACGTTTACGACAAGAAAGTACTCTGAAGAGAAAAAGCTACATTACATGACATGACATACATATACATTCACCTTTCTTTACCAGCGCGGTCGCATATTCGTCGTATAATCGTTGCACGGTTTTGGTGTGATATAATTTTCAAGCAGACTGTAACAGAAACAAATGCTGACAAGCAAGAATCAAAAGCCTTCCTCGTAACAAGACAGTTGAATTTTTCAGAACAAATGCATGGCAATTCCCGTAAAATGCCCTCCTCAGTTTTGTGATCTTACCCTGATATTGAAAGCACCACAAACAATACTGGAACGTTTACGACAAGGTACAAAATAAACTGTTATATTGTATAGATTTACGGGGTCAACCTTTCCTTATGGGTTCTTCTATTTCCGTTTTAATTTCGGCTGAACCAGGAGGCACAATAACCCTCCTGATTCTTGGCTTGAAACCGGGCCAGATCTAGATGGACTATGGAAGTGCTCTATCCATATGGGTGCATTAAACTGCCAGTTCCACAGCTGTGGGGCATTGACCAGTCCGACCCAGTCAATGGCGATGTTTTAGGCCGTATGGGGCCATTTAGACCTTACCTGTTGCTTACTAGATATCTTACTGCTATTCTTTCCCTGGTTTCTTTTTACGACAAAGTAGTTTTCTAGGCTCTTGGTCATGTTTTAAACAGACTTGAAATGTAACTCTCCTCAGTACGATGTGGCTGTGCCAGAGTTAGATGCTGTGGACTCCAATAATTCAAAATAATGAAAAGGCTCAGCTAAAGTATAAATACGTGTATCCAACCAGTATTGCAGAAAGGAGATGCAAATATTATCTTTAGGTAAAGAGTATCTTAACGTATCAAGCAAAGCGGGCTTTCTAGTCCCTAAGCGATTTCCAGATGTCTACATTGTCATATTTGGCAACGAATTTATCACAGAATCTGAAACAGCATTTTCCCACTAGTTAAGATTTTTGTTTAGTTTGCAACACATGTATGTATGCAAAAAAAACCTCTACTAAAAACTGTTACATCATGATGACTACAAGCCAAAAGACCTTAGGCCGATATTATGAAAGGTGAGTAATAACAGAAAATTGGCCCCTGGTCTTATCTGTTAAATACAGACATGAAGCGACGTCAGGCTACTACGCCCCCAGAACAAAGATTTGTAGGAATAACTTTGGTGGAACAAAATACATCTGTGATGAGGTAATCGCTGGGACTTAAATGCATGAATGCATTATTCGTGCAGAATCGATAGGGGGCGTGAATAGAGGTATATATTATCGGTAATAGAATCGTCCTGGAGGATCTGCCGTCTCGCCAGGGATATATCCTGTTGCCTCCGTATACGGAGGTTTTGTTTCCGGTGTCGACTGTTTGTTTGTTTGTTTGCGTTTCGGTACTTATTTCCACGTGGTAGGCACGTCGGGGACACTGTCAGGAGGTTAGTTCAAAGGTCCCAACTCTTGGAAAAGGTTATCTTATTTCCTGTCTGCAATTTCCTGCTAGATGCATGTCTGTTACTTATGGGAAATACATAGGCAGGATCAGCGAGAAGTTCTCAAATGAAGAACACAAAAATAAGAACATAAAATCTGTGTTGGAGGCGTTCTAATTCGCTCGACAATGTGCACAGACTTGACGAAAGAAAGCTTCTGTTACTAAATAACTTTTCATGCATTATCGACTGCACGATATGTTATTCTGCGGTATGGTATGCTATTTTTTTCAAAATGCTTAACTCATGCATACAAATGTCTATCCACCATTGCATATTCGGCTGGTAACGGGTTGCATCATGGCTATGACAGGAAATGATCACACAGACCACAATCTACCCGAAGTAATCACAGTAACGGTCTTTAGATTCTGAAGTAATCCGCGCCAACTCCAGTACAGTTATAACAGTTTCGGTAGCAATGTTGTTCTCCCAGTTTTTACTTCCGTGTGGCCGGCTTAAAAATCAATTTTTCTCGAGTGTCTGGCATATTGCGCAGTAGCTCTGAAATGAAAATACATCTCTACCCATCATGCCTGTTCTCTAGTAGAGCTCACATTATTAGACGAGGATCTATGTGTCTTTTTCCTCCAGACGAAGAGAGCTATTTTAATTTACTGTTAAGCGTGGTATGTAAATTACTCAGGAAGTGTAATTCGTTTCAGTAATTGTACGTAACACGTTATTTGTTATCCTGAATTCATCGTTAAGCAATTTACTGTTAAGCATTGACCGTCTTAAATCTACCGTTAAGCGTTGCTTGGCTGTCCTAAATTTACCAGTGAGCATTGCCAGGATCCCCCCATGAAGACCCCCTGATATGGCTTGAATGATGACATCTCCGACAGATGTGCGCTTGTTTTGTTTCATTTGTGCGCGCTACAACGTGCCTCCCTCAGCGACCGACAGACGCTGCGTGATTAATTGGAAACGTTTCATACTTGGATCGAACGGTACATGCAGTCAACAGGTTGTTATTTTTTACTCTATCACGGAATTACTCCGATGCGAGGATGCATGATGTAATGTCCAACGATAATGTCACACGGTGCTGGGGAAAACTTAAATAATGTCAGGAAATAACCCATCTGGACATCATCTTGATTATTATGTATTTTTCAATTCCAAGCGGAAGCTGTGTCGAAATTTCGAATTTTCTTTCGCTGTTTTGTTTGAGTGCGCTATCCTAAACCCAGGTCGCACAAAATGTACAACTTACCTAGCACCTTTTACGTAACACTTTACTGCGGTTTACATATAAACAGCTACGTTAACGTTGTTCACATACACACAATAAACATTGATTTGTTGTACCTATTCCCCCCGTTCCCATACAAAAAAAAACATTCCCAGAAATATTTCCATCTGTTACCACCAACGCGTCCCTATACGCCAGGCAGGATGAATGATGATGATACTGATGATCGTTCTGTTTCCGGGAATTCTGCACACGGAATCAGCGTCTCCATGGTGATTGATGGGGACGTCACCGTCCCGTTGTGACTTCATTACAGGTCTCATCAGCACGCCGCCCCCGGGTCACCCCAGTAAGCCCCGGACACATACATCCTACAACGCGCACGTACTATGGGGTTTTATCCCGCGACGGTGTCACCGTATGTCGTCGATTTGAGAAGAAATGCGTGCAATAGTTTGAACACTACAAACAGGTCAAAAATTTATCCATTGCACCTTTTTTTCTCAAACGTACGACATACGGCAACACAAAATATCATCGTAATATCTGTTATCATGGTATTGGAAGCTGCGATCACCGGTTTTCATAAAAACCCTTAGCTTCTATTGGTAGTTTTGAGAATGTGAGTGGTGCTCTTGAGTTAGAGGTGTATGGCCACAAGCTCTCTGGGATGAAACCAAATCAGCCCCTGACAGCACGACATTGTGTAGCACGGACTAACGGTAAACCAAATTCTCATCAAACATTTAGATATACCTAAAGATAGCCATCGTGGCGGCGTAATGGGTACTTATTGAGATTGACCCTCTTTTATGTGACCAAAGGCGATAAAACGATCAATGCAGAAGCAAACACCGTCATGGGTACTGAGGGTGGGCTTCAGACGGTCTGTTTACACAGCACAAAGGTTAAACTACATCCAAATGCAGCACCCACTCCTTTAGCAAATATAAACAAGGGCAACAATAGAGTGAGAAAGTTGTAATGGGATATGAAATACACATTCGTTGGTGATGAATGCCTCTTTACACCACGCCTGACTGGCGATAATTATTTTATGGCAAGTCTGCAAACATAATACATGTATTCTGTGCCTGAATGAATGAATCTGTTCGTTGAGAATACCATCCCGGCTTGCCGATAACAACATTTGTACTTAGGGATGAACCTGTGCGGCTCTAAGGTAAATGGTATATATACACACACAGACGTGTTTGTGTGTGTGTGTGTGTGTGTGTGTGTGTGTGTGTGTGTGTGTGTGTGTGTGTGTGTGTGTGTGTGTGTGTTTATGTGTGTGTGTGTGTGTGTGTGTTTATGTGTGTGTGTGTGGGGGGGGGATGTACGTATTATGTGTGTGTGTGCGAGCGCTCTATTGAAGTGACCAGAGGTTTTTGTGATATCTCTTTGTATGCCTCTCTGATTATACTCCCAGGTTCGTCCTCTGTTATCCCATTGGTATGGTGGAATTATTCATCTTGTACGAAAGAAGCCTAGGCTAGCGGCCCATCTATAAGTGATCCAAACCCCTTGTAGGCAGGGGGCTTATGAATGATATTTTGCCATGTAGATTGCTCCCTTGTTCAAAAGATATCACCGTTTGTGTGACTGATGAGTTAGACAGACGAGGTATGTCCACGAGGTATGTGTTGTATATGTACCGAATGTCCCTCATGCAGGGGATGTTATTTGAAAATCCTCAGTTCTTTACGTCCCGGTGCTGATTTACTACTGAATCAGAGCCCGTATTGATACATTTATCTTCGCTAAAGTATTTCCCGAGAATGAGAATGACAGTTATACCGCGCGCCAGTTTAATGATTGAATACGTGAGAAACATAGGATAGCAGACTATATGGATTTTTCCTAATCGGGATAGCCTCTCCTTCAAAATCTATATCAGCATATTTGAAATGCCAAACATTATAAAGAGGGGTATAAAATAGCCCAGAGTCCACAATTCTGCGTGGTCTGCCCCTCCCCGCCCAGATAATGGACCTGTCCAAGGTGCTGAAAACGTTGCTGCTCTTGTAACAATCGCTCTGATTGGTAGATGGTTATATTCCTGTAAAGAACATCACTGATCTTAACCACGCGCGGTTATGCAAAATGATACGACGCACTTACGTAATTACAACCGGTCTTGATCGATGGCTGGAATGCTAATTATTCCACACGAGCGCGCCAGAACGTTTCGTAATATGGTAATCCTTAATCCCTGATCAGGATTCAATGTGGCAGGTTAGTTATTACATCTCTTTGGTGGCAACATTCTCCTACCCCCTACTACCATGACTACTCTCCCTTCCTCTGTTATTTCAGGGTTTTAGTTGTATTCTGTGGCTGTTGATGTGAATTTAGTGGAGCTGTTTTTTTTCGTTCGGTACGCGGCGTGAATATGTTGCGTTTTTATGTAATTTTCACGGCGATATTATGTAAAACCTGTAGCTAATGCCGAATATCATAATAACACTTCCATATTTTTTGACACAGGAAACAATCCAAGATGGACGACATTCCACTTCCGCCCGGGCTGCTGACGTCACGCGCTAAAAGGATGGCCCAGAATATCTTCTCGCTGTGTGACGTAGACGACAAGGGTTTCATTACTATGAGAGACCTGGAGATCGCTCTCTCAGAATACAGCGAGCTGTGCCTCACTCCGGAGCAGGTCGAGTACGTCTTCAGCCTCCTGGACACCCAGCGGTCGGGCCGCCTGCACCGCGACCAGTTCGTGTCGGCGTTCGAGCGTTTTTTGATGATAGATCACAGCCAGATGATGCTCGGCACCGGCAACATGGAGGACGGGCTGGACGAGATGTATGAGTCCCAGACGCCGCCTGTGTCTCCCGATATACTCACGCTACAGGCCGAGTGGGACTCCTTCCTCAGAAGCGTTGGAGGGAACGTGTTACTAGAGGGGTGAGTCAATCTTGTATTCCTCACGGAGCTGAATGATCACACGGTAAGGATGCAGCGCGGGGCCCGTAAACCGCGCGTTTTATACCGCCGCGTCCCGAGGGTGTGCCCCCGCCTACCGCCGATGTTTGCACTGGCAAATGAAATATCTGCATGGCTCAGGTGTAGGCGTTGGCAGCTTGTTTGGGTTTTTCCAGCTGTCGCGTTGAAAGCACCTTTGGAGAAAGGCTGGATACAGCTGGTATATTTCGTTAAGTACTTAATGGATGTAGGTGTAGAGTGTGCTCAATTTTTGACGTTTTATGTTAAGTCAAGCAATTTACAAATATCCAAAGATGATTACACGAAAAGCCCAGTTTACAACATCATATTTTTCATTAGGAATCCTTCGAATAAAACTAGCTTTAAAATTCATTGCATTCTTATACCAGCTACTACTAAAACTGCCAGCACAGCAGTTTGCTTGATATATTATAATTAGCTGGGCCATGTATTGTGCTGTTCACAGAGGTCATAGCTGCTTTGTCTCGGGGTAATGGAAATTTTGACGTACGAGACAGACAGAGATGAGTGATATACTGTTTTAATCAAAGTACGCCCACTGCCGCCGTGGGCTGAGCCAGAAATACAAAACATTAATAAAACTTACCTATATCTAATAAAGAAAGGACATGAACAGCATTAATGCTAATATGTAACAGTGCGGTCACAATCGACGTAGGTCCCTTTATTGGTTATGGATCTGATGATATGACATAACCAATCACCAACAAGAATTTTTGACAGGTTTCTTTCTCTACAAAATCACAGCTGAATATTGCACGACATAAGCTTGATTTTCTCAAAATTACCCTAATCATTTGGTGATCCTACGATGACGGTACGGCGTATGTGATTGGACGTTAATAGTATAACCTAGGTCAAGGCCACATAAATGGCAGTCCTTCACAGGCGGGATAATTACTCTCCAAACAAATTTGTGTGTCATGCCTCATCATGGAAGAAAATGGGACAATTAACAGGTCATTCCTGCCGTGTTTGGAGCACCTACTGCACATTTCCAGTTCAATGCGGTAACAACAATATAACCGTGGGCTCGAGAAAACATTAGTGACTACCTAGTTGTGTAATGGGGAAAGGTTATTCTGTACATATGTGTACTCAGTATGCACTGATGCATAAAACATCGCTCGGTATGGACGCCCTTCATTTATTTTGCCAGCGGGTCTCTTGAGATAAGGCTAAGGGTAAGTCTATTTAGTCCATGAATTTGGACAGGAATGCATCCCAAAAACTGTCACCCGATCGTGACAAGGAGACCGTCAGACGAGCATATTTCGATAACGAACCGGTCTTAGGTTCACATTGCACAGGCGTCCCTACACGATCCCAATCTGTATTTCAGTCACCCACATGACCAAAAGGGATTGAGGCTTATTAGTAGGGACATTTCCTTCGTTATTCCACCCTGGGTCCTGGCGTCAGTGCCACACGCCATCAGAGGGATGAAACGTGCAGAGATTTCACAAACAAACGTCTGACGGCATTAAATCAGGTTTCATCAGCGGCACAGCGCCAAATTGCCGACCGGGAACAATGTTTAGACATGGCCGCAAAGGTCAACATGCGGGAGGGGGGGAGATGATATTGACTGACCGGCCAGACAGGCTCGCTTATTGAAATTTGAAAGGCAATTCCGGGATAATTCACCTGTCGGATTGGCCATCACGTTTTAGAGCTCATCACAGGTGAGAGGATGGGAGATTCTTTACACAGCGATATTTGAAAATTTTTCATTTCCTTCATATTTATCTATCGAGGATTGTGCAAAAGGCAGAAGAAGTCTACTCCTCTAGAACATAGAATCTGATACAATATTATAACAGTTACACCGGGAGGGAACACAGTTCAACATATATTAAAACACTAGATGAACAGGGGAAAATAATCAAATGAATTAACGTGCAATCAATCGTGAAATCTAACAGTACAAGCCAAAGAAGTATGACCAATATCGAAAATATTACAATTTTGTAATGATAAAAATGAATTGAAATGTAGAAGAAATAATCACATTCATGTGGTCGTCATCCTTCTGTATTTTTCTGCATTCATAGTCCAGCTCCATCCCTGTTGAAAACATCCCATAGATCTACACATTACGTCACGTGTCCTATGGGGGCATTTCACTCTTTTGAGGCGTAGTTTATTGTTATTATCCTCCTCTTGGGACCATTACCAACACGTTTACATCATGGAAGCCACAACTCACGCGAGCAGGCATTAGTCCAAAGCATTTGCATCTCCAAAAGACGCCAAATCTTTATAATTTCTGTATGCTTCATAAAACCTTTGAAAAATGAACATCTAAGCTGAACTATAGAATCGATCTCGGTTCACAGCCCGGCATAATTGAAGAGAACGCTAACCCGTGGGGACCGCCGGAGGCTACTAGTTGGTCCGGCCGTGCATAATGTATCGTGATGGGCTCACGGAGCACTACTGTTACCTCACGGGTCAGGGCAACGGGGTAATAGATGGCTTTTCATGGGAGAACCATTGGGATTATCTAAAAGGCTTCTTTTAGGGACAAAAGCAAGTATGCATTTGCAGTATTTTCTAACCGTAAGATTCAAATCTAATTTGTGGAAGGCTGTTTGAAGAAGCGCTGTTTTGTCGACCAATACAACACGGGTCGTGGGTGGATCCAGGGTCTTAGGTAAGGTCGTGTCAGGATCGGAGTTCGAACACAAAGCCGTTTTCAGGAAAATCAGACAAACTGTGCGCCTGCCCGCTCAGTACAACGATACACACATCTCTTCGTTGAGCAAGAATTTTTTGTCTCTACTAGACATGTATCAAGGGTAAAATAATCGCATCTGTAGTTCCCAGGTTCGATTACTGGGGACTGTCTTCGTATCTTGTCTGTCTTTGACATATTATATTCCATTTAAAAATTGACGTGATGAGCCCTACGGTGTCTATGTTTGGAGACACATTATATGGAAGATCATGCAGACCGGTAAACCCAGAGGTACAACCTTGAACCCAGGTCCTTGCTTTCAAGAACGAAACGTAAAGAGGATGATCTTTAGGAGGAGAGCCAGTATGGGGCAGCAGTATTCCCAGGAATGTACATTTCTTTTTACATTACTTTTGGACGCAGACATGCACCTTAAACTTCTTCGAGTTCAAAATGTTTGAAAGGGACGGAAACTTCACGGTCTACTATCTGAAAGAAAAACCACTTACATGAAGTCCCTAGGGTTGTGACAGTTGTATAGGGTTATGGGTACGAGGCGTATCGTGTAGCAAAATGATGAATGGTTTGATAAATGGTTTGCATAAAGTTTAAATTTTTGTTCCATGGAAAGAATGGTTCTCACCTAGAACGTTTGATCAATGACTCTGGTCTTCCTCAATAGACCGACCCAGTGATACTTATCACCTGGCTTCTCTAAAATGTGATGGTTAATGGGCTCTGGTGTAGATAGCCTTTTCCACCCCTCTCTGGATGTTGTCTTGTTTTGTGTCCAGTATTCTAACACTAGTAACAGTACACAAAAAAGGATTTGGTGAGATTCAAGTACATTGCAGTCTCAGGCTGAATTACGTGATTTCTTACAGTAATATCTAACTATAGACATGGGCCGATTAGATCACAAGATGTACAAGCTGAAGCTGTATAGAACACGTCATGAAAATAATTTAAAAGTTACACAGATATAACATCTAGGAGAATGTTACCCGTATACCGTGACACCTACGTTTTAGACTGTATTTTGCTACACAAATCATGTATAATATATGTGTTCTGCTCTAGTATACATCATTAAATAGTCAGACGTTGCACGATTTTGAACATCTGCCAGCTTTATACATTTCCTTGTTTGATCACGGCCCTGCGTGCTCCCCGCTTGCATGCCGCGGTGTCCCACGTGGTTTCATCAGTGTTATAATCGACAGCTTGACTGTAGTTAAAGATCTAATGACGAGATCCGCCGCGCCGCTACCAAATCACGAGTGCTCGCGTTTCGCCGACGCCTGTTCACAAAAACAATAATTCCACAATAATGCCATGTTGATTTGATTATATGGATGACATCCTCTGAGAACCCCAAAACTGATGCGAGCGTGTGAATAAAAAATAGTTTGGGCAAAAAAGTTGCTTTCTTTATGAAATTTTTCATGGTCGTGAAGGTTGAAGAAATGACACAGAGTATGGTATGGTGAATAATCTACTCTTCAAATTCATGTCTTTACATTTTCGTCTTTCTTGTTTGATTTTGGCATTCTACGACATTGGTATCGTTTCCTAATATTTGTTTTTGCAACTTACGGTATATATTTGCTCATTTTGCAAATTGACGATTTACAGTATGGTTGAATTTTTTTTTTTTTTTGGAAACGGCCGAAAATTGATGCGCGCGCGGATGTCATCCATATAATCAAATCAACATAGCCTAATGGGGCCAAATATCACACATGAACACACGCAAGTCACTGATCTTCTTGTACAGCACACGTTTTAATGCCTAGATCCAGAGACACCTTCATTCCCTGACGATAATTGGGCTGGCAGTGAAAGGTGATTATCGACGTGTCTGGCATACAGATTCTACTGGCAACGTCTTGCCAAAACCCAAGAGCGCGCTGAAAAAAATCCCAAACTCAACTTGTTTGCGTATGATTTGCTCCTGCCTGGAGACTGTTCAATCAGAGGAACGACCGCACAGGAATCGATTGTGGGGATATTACTTTCCAGGGCCTCCCCGGAAGACGATATATCCGTGGTGGAAGACATCTTCAGCAAGCATGAAATGACCCTGGCCGCATCGTCAGAGACGCGATGATCAACTCTTGTATAATGGTCTGATTCCCACCGTTATACCTCCACAGAAGAAACTTTGTCATCATAAAATGGCCCACAGCAGCAGAAATATCCCCATATATTTTCTACAGTACGTGTCCTCTATAGCATCCCACAGGCACCACAGACACGA